TAGAAATTACACGAATAAGCTTCATCCTATGCTAATCCAGAAATTAATACTTAACTTATTTAAAAAAAACAAAAACACAAACAAAAATAGAATATTATAAATCAAATTCGATCACAGTAATAGCCTTGGCGGCGGGTCTAAACTACAGGTCATTTTCCACAGTTCAGAGTACAGGTCACCAAGATCCAGATAAACGAATAGCATTAAAAGTGTCCCCTAGCCCTATCAGATCGATGGGAATCTGTGTGGTTTGGTAATTTATCGATGGAGTAGTGTTCTGAACTCTTGACCTGTGGAATGTGACCTGTACTTTAGACCCGGCCTTGAGAAGCTAATTAGCCTATAAAATTAATTGTTTTATGAAGGCTAGTTGTCATTCACGAAACTCCTTGGCTGCATTCAGTTTACAGTTTATGCGTATATGGCAAATTAGGCCGATTTTCGTGTTTAGAATATGTTTCCTTTGCAAATCGGACAGCCAAACCGATCCTTGTAAACTACCTTTTAGATCATACATCATAATATCTGATACTCTGTAACCTTTAGTGTAAGTTGTACTTTTTGTTTCTTTTTGTGGAAAGACCCAGGAAGGTTGATAACTTATTTAACATTTCCGTCTATAAATATTAAAACCATAATTTTGTACTCTACACAAACTGCCCCTTGCGTGTTGTGCATTTTAATGCAGACGTAAACTTTAGCAAAGTGGCGAGTCTGTCGGTAAAATAATCGACAAATCTTATATGCAATTTATTTTCGGCGAGCATGAACAATTTAATGTAAGTTAATGTGTAATTAAACACGTGCGCAAAAAAAAAAGGTTACAGTGGTAACCACTAACACGCGCCCTCAAAGGGTTTTTTCTTCGGTTGAAACCTGCCTTTTGGTGGACGTCAATCAACCGTTACCATGGTTTTTCACGCGTTGGCCGAGAGAAGATTCTTTCCTCGTTTCGTGAGCACTCGAAAGAAATGTCGGCGTTGAAGCCTTTTTTTTTGGCAATATTTTGCTTAAGGATCTGACACCACTTCATGTCAAGATTATGAGTAATACGATTTTATTGAGTGTTTGTCGGAGGAAACTCAAATTATCGACATATTTACACACTTTAAGTTACAACCACATATTAAGCTTTCTCAATACACGCTCGCAATTCGTCTGAGGGCTTGCTACTTTTGAATTCTATTCGATAAAGAATGATAAGTAGATCCGCAGGTTGCGAAGTACATTTTCGAAAACAGCCTCCATTATAAGGAAAGTTTTCTCTTGTCGGTGTAATATCTTTCAGTTCTTTGAATTTATACTTCTTGGCAATTCGTCCAGGGCTCCCGTGTTTTCATACAATCAAATAAATAAGTCTTAACTGACCTGACAACTTTTACGTAAATTATAGATAATGTTATGACTATTTCACTTAGCTTGCAGAGCTCAATGTAATCCTTCATCTTATGAAACAACCAAAAACGCCGTCGTTATTCCAAATTATTCTTGTAAGTCTTCGTACGCTCTAAGACCTTTCTCTTACCATTTCCCACCAGAAAATTAATTTAAGCTTGTGTATATTAAACGCAAGGCCATAGATATCGTCTCTCTGTCTCAAATTTTTAATACAGGTCATGACATGAAACAAGAGAGAATAATCTCCCTTGCATAAAATAATTACGCCTGACGTTACAACAAAGGTAAAACGAGACAAGAACTGTAAAAATTACTCAGACTCACGTTGGGTACAGCTCCTGAAAGCCAGAAAGTGAGCATGTTCAACTTTCAGTTTCTTTGAATCCCTTGGCGACGCTTTCCTCAACCCAAAACCAAATAAAGAAACCAGCCTCGAATAGCCGAAGAAACTTGATAGCAGCCTTATTTCATTTTGAGGCAGTAGTGGAAGAACAATTTTAAAACTTAGCCGGAATGAATAATGGACTTCAGTTGTCCACAAGTTTTCACACATAAATTCACCTGACAAAATTTTGGCCAAGTGGGGACGAGGCAAAGCAGAGACAAGGTTGTTCCGAGAGCTTTACCAGGTAAAAAGCAAAGCTTTAGAAATTTATTTCCGAAGATTTTGTGGTAAATCAAACACAAACTTCAATTTAGATTTTTACTTGTGCAACTGCGTTGGTTGCCCCTAAAAGGGCTTTTTTTTGTACCAAGACGAAACGCAACGTACTTATCTGGGACTCCCTCCCTTCCCTACCCTACTGAGTTTTTTATCCCTACTTCCAGAGTCCCTACGTACGTGCGGGTGTAAAAAACAAGACGAATAAGCAAAAATTGATATTACTTGTCCCGAAAACTTAAAGTCGAACTGGATGCTCGTTCTTCCTCAAAGCAATTTATTTTTGAAATTCCAGAACAATTTCAGAGCTGAACTTTGAACGACTCTCCTCATTCAGTTGCACAGCGAGGTTCATGATGTTGACACAACAACATTTTATTCAATTTGCAAATAATTTAGGACTATTTTACCCACAATTAGCGGAGCTATTCTAGGTGGGCAACAATACAATAATTATCTCCTATAAAAAATGCACAGTTGAAAGTTCTAAAGTCAAGAAAAAGAAAATAAAGAAAGAAAAAGCAAAAATAATATGAAATAAATAACTAAAAGGTAGCACAATTGAAAATAATAGTAGTTAAATAATAGTAAAACTATAACAACACCGTTGATGCCTTGCTTGGAGCAATACTATGAGAGTACGAAGATTTATTTTTGGTGACCTTGGTAAACTCCCTGTGGTCTAAAAGTCGAGGATTGACCTTAAAGTTAACCGTAGCCATGAAAGATGGTCAAAATCAGAGCAATCACACTCGTGTCCGAGGCAAAGAAGAAAGACGGAAACATTTGCATCTGCATTGATCCAAGAGATCTCAACGAGGTGCTCATAGGACGCCATTATTCATCTTGGCTGCTTGGTTAGCGCTTGTTATCTGATTGAATGATTGCTGAACCAAGGGCATTAAATCAGATTGATTTAAATCAGATTTGATGAGGACGGTTGAAGATGTTGCCTCACGCATGGCCAGTGTTACAGTAGTCTCCACGCTTGACGCAAGAAGTGGTTTCTGGCAAATCAAATGAGACTACGAGTGCTCACTACTCGCCGGACGTCGTTTGGAATCATCTCCGCTTCTGTTGTCTTTCAGCGTTTCATTGAAGAGCTTTTTGCTGGGTATCCCTGTGTAATAATCGTGGATGACCTTTTGGTATGGGGCGAAGGACCACCGGAGCACAATGGAAATTAAGGAAAACTCCTGCACAAAGCTCGAGAAGTTGGTTAGAAATTATCTCCAAAGAAATGTAAATTCCGTTGTAATCAAGTCCTATATAATAATAATAATAATAATAATAATAATAATAATAATAAAAGTCTTTATTCAAGGTTTTAAACAAAGTTAAAACTTACAAGTTCCATTATAAATGAAGATACAACTGTCTGAGTCTTAATTACAATCTATTTAGAATCAAAGAGACGTCTATTTACAAAACATTTCTTAAACCTCTCTGTATTAACACGTGGGATCTGGTGAAGATGCGACCTACCGCGGAGAACCCTGTTCTTAAGGGGGGGGGGGGGAGAAGATCCTGCAGGGGATGCAAGGAAGTACCCATAACACTTTTCCAGAGCCTCACATCCCTGTCTTTAATAACCTGTTGAATCGATGTTTCATGTTGAATATACCCAAATCAAAAGGCCCTTCTCAATAGCCTATCAATCTAAGGTATTTAGTATAATCAGCAACACCCCAAACTCTGATACAGTAAGTAAAAAGTGACAGAATGAGGCAATTAAAGAGGTAATCAAGATCACGTACACTATAACCATTTCTTATACACACTCTAAAGATATGCATACGTTTTAGAGCTCTTTCCATCAAATCATCAAAATGCTTATCCCAGTTGGTAGGACTATCCTGAAAAGTCACTCCTAGAAGATTAAAAAAAGACACACGTTTAATGGTAACAATTGGCTCAGGAGGGGGCAAAGGCGTTCTTCCTCTTATTACCAGCTCCTTGGTCTTACTTAGATTAAGTTTCATCAAATTCTCCTCTGCCCAGAATTTAATATTCTCTACCTCCTCAGAGGCACTACATTGACATTAGGCCCAACGGGTATACTACATGTAATGTCATCAGCGTATTTAGTCATTAAGGTATTCCAGCAGGTGAGACTTATATCATTAACCATGATGGTAAAAAGTACAGGCCCCAGAACAGTGCATTGGGGCACACCTCGATTGACAGGCAAGAATGGGGTCATGACTTTGTCTACACATACCCTTTGCTGACGATCTTTTAAAAAGTCAATAACCCAATTAACAATATAAGGGTTAATGTCGGGCACTTTCTTAAGTTTATCAGTTACTACTCTATGGGAAATTGAGTCAAAGGCTTTCGAGAAGTCAAAAGACAGAACTCTAACAAAGTTAGAATGGCCATCAAGCCATCTCATCCAAAAGTGCTGATTATATAATAGCGCAGTCTCAGTTCCACAATCCTTCTTATAGGCAAACTGATCTGAATGAATAAAGCAGGAAACCGGTTTCCTCAATTCGAAATCTAGGATTAACCTTTCAAAAAGTCTCACTGTAATGTTAGTGACTGATGTCGGTCTAAGCTGATCTAAAGCAGAAACATTGGTCTCCTTAGGAATAGGTCGCACATTTGCAGTCTTCCAAATCTTAGGGACTTGCTGGGAGACTAAGGAAACATTCAAAATGTGTTATCACAGGTGTTAGTCCCAGGGCACACTCCTTCCAAAACCAAAAAGGCAGATCATCTGGGCCACTGGCAGTCCTTTTCACATGCTCTAATGCCTTGAAGACCGATATTTCATGAATCACAGGCACTCTTTGAAGCTCTGGTATAATCTCCAACAGGGCAGGTTCAACATAACTTATGTCTATTTTGATGGACTGAAAGTGAGTGTTAATATCGTTCACATTAAATAAAGATGAGAAATTCATACTTGATCCAACACGCCCAGTTAATTTATCAATCACCTCCCGCCAAGATTTGCTGCCCATGTCATGTTTTGCTTGTTAACCTTAGTCAGATTCAACTGATTCTCTTTAATAAGCTGGATAATTCTCGGTTGCAAGAAACCAGCCTCCTGTACCATCCCTTTCCTCAGAAGCTTATTCCTTTTAGACAGAAGATTTTTTAACAAAGGCGACATAAAGAAAGGGTCTTTCGATGACATTTTTACCCGTATAGAGGGAAAGCTGTTCTTGAACTCTTCATGGACGATACAATAAAACTTGTCAATAGCGATGTTGATATCATTTTCAGCAAGGACAGGAAACCAATCAGTAGCCTGCAGTTTCTGTAACATTAAGCTCTGACGATGGTTTCGGGCGTCAATAAATTCAACGGCAGATCTCACTGGACGATTTCGTACCCTGGGGAAAATGAATACACTGGAGTGATCAGATTTAGTCACACTCTTCGAAGTACACACTTTGCCAAAAATATTCTGTGTATTTGTCAGAAATACATCCAAAATACTGTCATTCCTTGTCGAAGTCTTGACAAGTTGCGAAAGGCCACTTTGTTGGGTAAGAGATTTCAGATCAAGTTTATTAATGTCACCAGCAATAATTAACCTCGCATTCGGTGGGGTGGCGAGAATGCTTTCGCAGGAATTTACTACGAATTCAATAAAAGCAGTTTCATAATAATCAAAGGTCGGTGGATGGTAAACCGAGGCAGCAAAATAATCTTTATTGGTCGTAGTACACAAAGACAGGCCTCAAGCCTTATGACGCCAAATTTACTGTGATTAAAGATACACCTGCCCCTGACTTCCCTGGGCACTTCGCCGAGTCCTTTGTAGGTCAATTATCTACACCAATTTTTAAGCAAAAATCTCGGCGAGAAGACCGCTACCCTACTCGAACTGCTACGGAGAGACACGCGTTGGAGCTGGGAAGCGCTTCATCAAAAAAGCATTTGATCTCCTAAAGTTGGACATCTCTCAACCTCCACTCCTTAAGTTCTTTGATCCTGTAAAGCCATTACACTGTCAATGGAAGCTTCAAAGAATGGTTTTTGGTGTTGCATGCCTTTAGGATGGGTACCCTGTGGCATGTTCCAGAAGAGCCCTAACAGAAGCTGAAACTCGATATGCACGGATCGACAAGGATATGCATGCAAGAGAATTCATGGTTTCATCTATGGTAGGGAAGCAATCATTGAAACTGATCACAAACCTCTTTCTGCAATCGTAAACAAGCCTCTTCGCCTGTACCGATCTTCGACGAATGCTGTTCTAGCTACAGAGCTCCGATTTGCCAAAGTGGAAAATACCATAATATTCTTTAAGCTATCGTCTGGGTGGTGTAAACCTGATTTTTGCGTTAAAGTAAAACCTTTTTTCCCCTTGAGGTATGAGCTGATCGTGGATGATGGTATCATTCTGAAAGGCCTGATAGTTGTGGTACGCGATCCTTACGCAAGGAGAATGTCCAGCAACTACACAAGGGACATCCTGGAGCAGATGCTGCAATGGAAAGAACTCGGGATGTTATTTATGGCCCTCTATGTCATCGAACATTGAGTCTGCGATAGCCTCTGTCAGCCGTGCAATAGTGCCAAACCACACAAGCAAAGAGAACCACTTGTTATTAATCCGGTCACAGATCTCCCGTGGTTATTTGTTAGCGCATGCATATTGGACTGAAATGGATTGCAGTACCTGATTTTATCGAATCTTACTATAGTTGGTTTGAAATTGATATCCTTCGTGGTTCGTCCACCAAAATTGTAATTGCGAAGATGAAGCGTGCAAGTGCTTAATGACAATGGTCCACAATCTTTAAGCAGGGAATTTAAACGTTTTGCTAATGAATGGCTCTTTGAGCACATAGCAAGCAGTCTGTATCATCCAATAGCCTGGACGAGAATACTCTCAAACCTGCTTTGCAAGGGTACGAACAACGGTTCTGCTCCCTCAATTGGCCTCTTTAATCTACGCAATGTTCCTAATGATCAAACACTAGGTTCTCCTGTCCGGCGACTCATGTCCAGTCGTTCCAGTTTCACTATTCGTGTGGCAAATCATCTCCTCACTCTTAAGGCAGCCAGTACTTTAAATGTCTCTTCAGCGTATGATAATCAGCATGTCAAGCATCTTGCTCTCTTTATTCACAAGAGCTTGTGAGACTTCAAACTAAGAAAGGTTATGAGAAAAGTGGCGTTGTTAAGAAACCAGCTGCAGAGCAAGGAAATTACGTCGTGCAAACTGGAGTAAAGGAGTACCGCAGAAACCGGAAACATATTTTAGCTGTCTCCTGCTGCTGCTTCTTCACCGACTCTCTTAGCTACAGCTCTTCAACAGCCTCCAACCCTGTCAAATGCTACTCACCAGGGTCCTACCATGTCAAATGAGGATATATTCCCTGAGTTTGCAATTCCCGCCAAGACACTATCAGTGCCCGGAGTCTATCAGACGTCACCGACAAGGAAGTTTATCAGACCCAAAGCTTCACTACAGTCTTCTCTTGGAAGAGGTACGCCGGAGGTCTCTGGTTCAAATGGTCTTGCATACTCTATTGCCAAAAGATCGCAAGTTGTCACAAGATCTGGGTAGAATTGCACGACCTTATCTGAAATCCAAGGAGTTTGTGACTTAATTTTGCAAATAAAGGACATATTTAGTATAGTCTATTAGGACTTCCAATATAGAAACCGACCATCGTGAAACATACATAGTTTTTTAGTTCTCACGGAGGTTATTTGCTAAACAGCACAATATAAGCTCCTGGAATCGGATTTTCAGTAGCAGATCTAGATCGCCGAAAATTCGCATTTTATCGATTTCAAAGTTTTTGTTTATTGTTGTCATAGTCATATCGATTTAAATAAAAAAAACTGCAAACTTCAATTCATATTCAATCACTGGAGAAAAGTTTGTAGAAATCGGACAGAACAAAATTACTTTAAAGGCGATTGAAAAACATCGGTATGGTCTCCGAAAAACTGTACCAAAAACCTTAAAGGGAACCTAGAGAAAGCCAATGCATACAAGGCTGCCATCAACCAATATGTAGAAAAGAGGTACGCTGTAGAGGTAAAGGAGGCAGTTGATGGTGACGAGAAAGTCAGGTATTTATCTTTTCACGCAGTCTTCAGAGAGGACAAGAAAACTACAAAGTGTCGTGTTGATGCGTCAGCTTATGATGAACATAAGGTAACACTCAATGACTGTATCCTTTCAGGGCCAGCACTTCAACCTAATCTTGTATCTGTTGTTGAGAAGATGTTCCTCCAGATCAAAGTTGACGAAAGAGACCAGGACGCTCTTCGATATCTATGAAGGGATCTAAAGAGTGACGATCCACCGAGAATCTACAGGTAGCAGAGATTAGCATTTGGTGTTAATTGAAGTCCATTCCTCGGAATTGCCACAGTTCAAAGTCACGCGATGAAATGCAGAGAAGAGTTTCGTAATGCATCAAGAGAAGTCCTGTCAAACATGTACGTGGACGATTGCATTACTGCTACTGATGACGTTGGAGTTACGGTGGAGTTGCAGCAGTCCTTACTCAAGATGATGGAACTAGTTCAGGTTGCTAAGAATTGTCAGTCGAGGAGTTAAACGACGCCAATTTATACTGGTACGGAGAGCTGCAACGGCAGATGTTACTCATGTTCAAGAAGTATTGAGGAAAATAAAAGTCAAGAAATCACCTTGCGTTGACGGCATTACACCTAAACTACTTAAGGTCTCAGCCGAGATTATTGCTGGTCCACCCTCCGTCATATGCAACAATGCTATATCCCAGCGTAAATATCATTCAGAATGGAAGAAGATAACCCCTCTGACTAAGAGCTCTGATGGTGATATGAAAAAAGCATTATTTAGACAGGTGACTGTGCTTCCAGCCCTCAATAATGTCTTTGGGAAGATTCTTGCGTCACAGCTGACGTCGTACTTTCAGAAAATCTTTTGTGATTTCTTGTCAGCTTATAGAAGACATCATGGCTGTCAACCTATACTGTTTATTGTGGAGGAGTGGAAGAAAAGTCGTGTTAAAAGGGAGCTCGTTGCTAGTGACAATGGATTTATCCGAGGCATTTGACAGTCTCCCTCATTAACTTCTTATCAAGAAGCTGCAAGCATACGGCCTTGATAATTTGAGCTGCTCTTTTCTTCTGGACTATCTTCAGAATAGGTTACAGCAGGTTACGGTCGAAGACACTGTGTCGTCATTGGAGTTCACAAGTAGAGAGGTACCACAAGGCTGCGTTTTATATAATGTATTTCTCAATGACCTGGCCCAATTTATAACTGGAGCTCATCCTAACGCATATCCTGATGATCAGCGACGGCACTATTCTGATACTAATCATTTGGCTCTGCGCACCCAACTCAATAATGAACTCTCTATAGCAGTGGACTGGTTCAAGCACAACGGTTTAATTGCCAATCCTAACAAATTTCAGTTAATGGTACTGGGAGATGATCATAAGGTTTCATTTGCTGTTGATGGGATAGAGATCACCCGATGGGATGATATTGATTTACTGGGTGTTAACAACTCTAAGTTTACATTTGACAAACACGTTACAAATTTGTGCAGTAAAGTAAATTTGCAACTTCAAGTTGTAAAAAGATTTAGACAGCTGATAACAGGACAAATTAGGTTAAAGCTCTATAATGCATTTATACAACCCTTTTTTGGTAATTGTAGCGATCTGTGGCATTTTTTATTGCAGTTAAATAGGCAGATACTTACAGTAGTTTTAAACGATTCATCCAGCAGTTATGAGGATCTACTTACCAAACTTGGTATGACCACCCCAGAGGCAGGACGGGTGCAAGGCATTATGTTGACATTGTACAAATGTTTACAGGGAATGGCCCCGCCTTACCTTCGAGCTTACATTCAAGAGCGGCGTGTATCAGATTAGTTGCTTTCCAAGCTTAGCCTCAAGACTTTTTATAGCAGCAGCTCTGGCTTTACTGCCTGCATGTTAAGACTACCACCTCTGGTTTGGGAACATTTAAATACTTTGCTGCTCATGCCTGGAATAACCTGGCCGATAATATCAGAATGACCGAAACGCTTGCCACTTTTAAACGCAATATCATAGATTATGTTTATTAAGAGTTTTTGTTGTTTTTTCCTTTCCCTCGAGAATGTCGAATTGTAGATCTTAATGATATTTTGTTATGTAAATTCTTGTATCAGTGTATCAGTGTAGCTAAAATATAAGTTAAGCCGTTATGTCCTTTATTAGCTTTGGATCTTTTCGGTTTTTATATTATGTAGATCGGAGATACTAACACTATGTGCTACTCTAAAATTACAAATAAAATAAAGTTATGTACGTATGTATGTTTGTATGTATGTATGTAGGTGTACCAAGCACAGTGTGAAAGGTTGAAGGAAAATCCTCTTTTACCAAACACCAGTGTTATCTTCAAGTCGGATCCCTACTTTGACAAGAGAGATCGGTTGCTACAGGTAAAAGGAAGATTGCAGTACTTGGGCCTACCTGAGGGTATGAAACATCCAATTATCTTACCGTATGGGGCATCCAGTGGTTAAAGAGATCATACAGAGTGTGCACAAGGACCTGCTTCGTGCTGGACCAGACAGACTCACCTTGCACTTGGAAGGTCAGCATTTAGCTTACCAGACATTGCAGACGAAGTTTCAGCAAACGGAGGTACAACGAGGCGGCGATAACTGTATCAGAAGAAGTTTCTTAACCATTTCTGACAGCGCAGGCGAGGAGAGTACCTGCATCAGTTATCAGTCAGATATAAGTGGGTGTGTGAACAGCCACTGCCCTCAAGATCAGAGACAGTGCTAATTTCTGAAGAGGTCAAGAGGTAAGTGGCCAGTGAGACCAGTTGGTTCCTGGAAAAGATGGCCTTGTTTCTACTGTAACCCTTAAGCCACATAAAGGACGTCTAAGGAGACCTATTCAGAGGCTGCATCGTCTGGAAGCGAGTACTACTCAGTTTTTAAGTGATGAATTTGGCGACAGTGGCCCTAATGGTGAGGAGTCTGCCACTCAGGTACAGGTATATCCTCCCTTGACGTTTCTGGCACTAACTCTTCCGTTGGTTCAGGAAACTGTGGTTTGCGTTGTAGCTCTGTACACAAAGTTGAAGGTATGAATCTCTGGCATAGTTGTTGGTGATGTCGCTTCTAGATAATGTTTTAACCTGGATTTCAAAATTCTTGGGACTGTCTGCTCCCGCAATTGTTCCTGATATCAATTTTGGTCCTTTACCAAAATTACGCGCAAAAAGTGCTTTGGTTCGATGTTAACGAGGGTGACACAAAAGAGCGAGGCTCTATAGAACTTTTACAGACATGACTATAAAAGTATGCTGAATCTATTAAATCAGCCATAAACAGCTATAAATTTAAAATACAAATAATTATTTATTTTCATGACTGTATAGGTACACTAAATCTATTAGATTATCCATAGACAACTTTTAGTTTAATAATTAAATGTCTCCAAAAAGGCTAAAAATATCATGAGCATTATAAAAGATATAAATGGTAACTCTAATAATAACATAGATTATATGTTACAATGTTACGTACAACGCAACACTTAGCGAAGACTAATTTCCAGCCATTGAAAATGTTGACGTCGTAAGACATAGCCAAGGCACAGTTATACTGCTGGCAGATAATTCCACAACAAAGTAAACGATTAAAATAACTACGAATTTAGTGCGGTACTTAGGAATTGACAAATCTAAAACGCAGCTGTTCCGCGTGGAGCGAGAGATGATGTTCTGCTGCACAGAATCGTTAAGAGAGATACTGTACAGCTGTAGTGACCTAATCGGCTTCTGAAGTAGAAAAGAAGATCTTTGATTTCATGAACAAAAGAAATATGTAAGAGGTTCACTTTCATAAGTCTCTCCTTGTAGCTTTTAGGTTGAATCCGTCTGACCAAAGTTGAGCATAATATGGTAACTCGACTTTTAAGACTTTCAATTATAGAGATCTTTCCTATAGACTGTGGTGCCCAGATTTCACGAGCATAACTCAGTTGATAACTGAAAAAAAGGTAGGTGCAAAGTCGTTTGGTGTCAATGTTAATATCGCGACAGGTGGGTCTTCGAAGAAATACCAATGCCCTTTAGTACTTAGAGATAACATTGTTTGTGTGCTGGTTCCACTGAAAGTCAATAGTAACCGAAACTCCACGATCTTCTTTCGACGTTACACGAAACAGAGGATCATTTTCAATTTTATAATCGAATCGGAGAGAGGTTCCTTTGCGTGAAACACATTTGGAGCTATTAAATTTCAGTTGCCCATCTTGTCTTGTCCAGAAACACACTCATTGGTGCGTTTGTTCACTTTAAAGTACTTTGAGTCGTCTGCAAGGAGTGCAGAAGTGTTGCAAGTAATACTGGGAAGATCATTGATATAGACCAAGAAAAAAGAAAGATGCTAGAATACTTCCTTGAGGTACATGGGACGTAACGGGAAGATTCTTTGAGAAAATGCCATCAATGATGCGGCACTATTGGCGTTCCTGGAGGTAATTGGTGAACCACGACAAGGGATTATTGCCAAGACAAACAGGGATAACTTAAGGATGACTTTGAGGCTTTTCAAAGGCTTTCGCTAACACCTCTTTAGTGTTCGGCTCATGTTGGTCCATGTTCAATGCGCTTTGGTACATTTACCTACAAGTAATTCAGACTTCGAACATGGTGACATGGTTTTTCGCTTAAAGAAACTTAAGGATATCTTAGTTGAATTGAGTATGCTGACCGGTGTGCACTTTGAGGATACCTTATTTTCTGGCCTCGGAAGCACAGGGGTTTTCCTCGTTTCATAATATACATCGTTGGTGTGTCTATTCCGACATTAATGGCACACTCGTTTCTTTAAGCGCTATTTCTGAAGGTGTGTATTTGGTGTAAAGAATTACAACACATGTCACCATTTGGTACTAAGCCGAATTAACATACGTTGTAAACAACTTATAATACGCTGTTTATTTACACCGTCCTGTTGCCCGAAAGATCATTGCCAAACGTTTTTGAGTTGGACCAAGTTTCTTAGCACACCCTTTATACACGCTTTTTGTGAACAGTATCCTTGTAAATTTAGAAAGCACGATACTGTTCTCACTGATACGTTTTGGGAAGAAATCCTGACTTCTTGCATTATTATTAAAGAGGAAAAGTTGTCCTATTTCTCTGGAAATCAATCGCTCTTTCAAGCTGTCTTCCACTTCTCGGCTGTGTTACTCACACTCTGTTGCGAAAAAGGCCTTCTTTTCCATTCTGCACACGCTTCCTCTGAAAATTTGGGACATTCGAGCGACTCTCCGCATCAGGGAAGCCTTGAATTTTACATACACAGTGCGCGCATGCTTTTGTCACGCTATCCATCGTTCACTTAAAAGCTTTGCTGAACATTCAGCTCATTTTATTTTTACAATACTGCACTCCAGAAAAATATTCATGCGAACTGGACATTCTTAGTGCTATGGTTCTCTTTACATTAAAGCTGAAATCTCAAAATAACTCAGTTCACGGCTGTAGAAATGTTAGCAAATCACTATAGAAGCCAACAACACATTGACATGCGTCAGCAAGATAGTGCATAAAGCGTAATAATAATACCAAATTGTGTCGGATGAAAGATAGAAGACTGCGCAGTTGGTTCACGATTGTAATATTAGGTGAAATCCCTTTGAGTCGCTCGCAGTTTGGGCGCAGAAGTAGTGGCGAGTGAATTAATGTTTTTTTGTACAGTTCCTTGCCATTAACGTTCCCAACCCATAACCCTTGCTCTGGAAGCAAACAACTGAACCAGAATAATTGTGCGGAAAAGGGGTAAGGGAAAAAGTACTCTAAAAGAGGACGACAGCTCACTTTGTTTCGGGGTTGGTAATCTCCCAGGGTAATGGTTGGAGCGATGAGGGGGTGACAGTTCTCCAGGGTAGCGAGTGAGAGGTGATAATCTTCTCTAGCGGGTGATAATCCCCCAGGGTAGTGTGAGAGAGGCGATTATCCTCTCTAGGAGGTGATAATCTTACCAAGTTATCGAGAAGTGAAAGCTTTGTAGGGGTCCAATTTCCCTGGGTTAAAAGTAATAGGAGTCTATGGGGGAAAGGGTGACCTGTATGGGAACACTTCATCCCAGACCCATTTATTTATTTGACTTCAAAAACCTTGATACAGGTAAACAGAAACTATTGCTATAATACTGTTTGAAGAAAGTCACAATGTAAGATTTGTTAAGATTTCCGAGCCTACAACAAACACTACAAGACTGGTAGGATACGTGTACGAATGCAGGAGCCGATTACATACGTGCTGTAACCTTGAGTCAACCCTTTCCGATAAAGAATTATTTTTAGAACAGGCTTTCCCGCGAAATTAATTGTTTTCGAGGACGTCCGCATATTTCTGTAGTGAGAAAAAAATGGCGACGAAAGAGGGAAATTGGCCAACAAGTTTACTCCTTGTTCCATCACCGTAGTTCCTGCCTCCGTTCCTTCCCTTACAACCGAGGAAAGCTGGTTTTGAGTTAATATAAATAATATGTGATCTGGCTTAAAAATATTGCTATATTTTGTTGCAACGCACGAGGTCGTGTTTGCTGTTGTAGCACTGTTCGGATGTTTAAATTTTGCTCGTAATGTTGTATTCCATCGCCCTTATTTAAAAGGAGCTTTTCAAACAATTAAAAAGTGAAACTCTTTGTTGGAGAGCCAGACTTTTTAAAAGGGATTTGGAGCGCTTACGGTAAGCTCTGAATGGAACCGGCAAATCGGAGGCAAGTAGAAACTGTCGTGTCTTCTGTGTCTTATCTACCGCAACCTGGGACAACGAAAATCAAGATGTTTTCTCATGATTTTGAAGGATTTCATTTAAAGAAAGTGAAGAAAGGTATCGGTTTATGTTGTCCGGATTTTTATTCATTTTGATGGTGCTATATAAGTTATTATTTCGTTGCCACAAGACATGAAATCTACAAAAACCCTTTGAGTGCAGAATTATCAAACTCAGGAAGAAATTAAACACTGTTTGGCAATCACACTTTTTCTCAAGATGCTACAAGATTTCATGGCCGCAGCATATACTTGTAGACCTCAAATAACCGCAAAAGAAATATACAGGAGGATGTGACATGCCGAAACATATAACTTCCGCTGTGAAACCTTTGAGAACCTTTCTTTCATTCAAGGATTTTAATCTTTTGAAGTCGCTAGCCCCATCGGCTCGCTCTTTTTTAATTTTATGACTGCCTGTTATTTTCCTTGTTTACATGTTACTTAGTTTCTTAGTAGCAAGCGAAAAATACCAGGCTCAGTACATTCTGTATCGACAGTTGTTGTATTGTGTGAATGAAACCCTCAGTATGTTAGGTACACAACAGTTAATTCCTGTTGAACATCTCGTTTGTTTTGTTTGATATGTCCACTTGAAATATTTGCCGTTGAGATTGTATGTTATCAAAAGCCATTTTCATTCACAGCCACATTAATTTGGCTTATAAAAGTCCGTTCATAATTCGCGACCTCAGATCTCGCACAATTACAGCCGCCG